TATGTCTCCTCATTGGATTATTATAAACATGATGGTTTTCATTCAGTGCCAACAGTTGAATTCATGACTATATTTAGCAGAAAATGAAGCTCAATGCACCTGTAAAGTCAGTTCTATAGCCTGAACGCAGAGAGTTCAGGGTTCGATTCCCAGAGGAACCACATGCTTGGTGCCTGTTAACAGTATATATGCTGTAAAGTTTCCCAAAATTTGGAGCAATATAGTTCTAGTTCATTTTTATATATTTATTTAAAGCTCTCACACAATAACCTCTAAATATTCACTTTAACTTTCTCACTTCTCCATTTTAATTTTTAACTTTTTATTAAATTGTTGCCCTTTCTGTTCAAGGATTTGGAGGAAACTACTGCCAAATTTATTGTTTGGCATCTGAGGGAATTGAACCAATTTTTTTGCCAGATCTAATTTCTTTTTTTTTTTTGCGTACAGTAAAACAGCTCAGTTGTGGAATAGCTTCAGCATCAATGATATAAAGGAACATTTCAACCAATTAGCATTTTGACAAAGTCAGTCTTTCCTCCTGTGTCAGAAAAACCAAACCAGCTGTGAAACTGTCACGTTTCCAAACTTAGTTTAAAAAAAAAAAAAGTATAATTATGATAAATTAACAAATCCTTTGTATCGTTCCCTCTCCCCGTCTCCTCTTTCATCACTCTCTCATTACTCACATAATTCTTTTACTCTGCACCGAGATGAGACATCAATTCCTTTGCCACTGATAATTGTAAATTAGCTTTGAGTTAGTTCTGGAGGAAATGGGAGGAGACAGGGGTGAGAGAGGCAGAGAGGGGAGATGAGATTAAGAGCCTGTGTGAATTCGACCCTCCCCGCGGTGGGACAGAGAGAGTTGGGAAGGAACTGATACTTTGTGACAAATTGGGATGTTTTAGAATCAGAAGTGACAATTTGTATCAGGCGGCGGTGAGTTGTGTGTGAGCGTTGGTTCAGTGTCGTTCAGTATAATAAGCAGAACGTGAGGCAGGAATGAACATGTGGCTGAATATCAAACCAAATTTACAAGGTTGGTTGACTGGAAAATAATAAGCTGTGAATTGAAACATCAGAGGACAGGGACGAGGACGAGGACAGTTTGATAAACTACAGAATAAGAGTGGAATTAGTGTTAAAAAAAAGATACTTTTTTTTCAGGGGTTGCCACAGCGAATCAACATGGAAATGTTGCCCTGTTCTCTGCATCTTCTCCTCTTTGTCTCCTACCTGGTAGCTCCATCTCCAACATTCTTCTACCAATGTGTCCACTGTCC